GAACGTCAGCGGGGCGGGCGGAGGTGCGGCGAGAAAGAAATGTGTCGGTGAGGAGTTGGAGAGGAGTGCGCATCAAGCAGAAGAGCCACAAGCCTGCTTCACGGGAGGAAGAAACCCGCCGCCCGCCAAGCCAGCGCGGAGGTAGCCGCTGCATCCTCCCCTGTGCCCGCAGCCTCGCTCGCCTCCTCGCTTCCAGAGAAGCTGAGTTCTCCTAGAAGCACGGCAGTCAAGGAAGGAAGGATTTGCCACAAAGAATATATCACCCTCCTCCCCAGCGGCTGGATACTGCATTTTTTTTTTTTCCCCAGTCACTCTTCTGTGTTTAAATACCAAATATAGCCTCTTGGGGGGGAGGGGATGGAAATCTCTTAGAAGAATTTGAAATCTTGCTCGGATTCGGCAGTGCTGGTGTTGCACGGCCCGGCAGAAGGATCGCGGAGGCGGGGGAGAGAAGGGGAGATGCTCGGCTCTCGCTGACTGGCGGCAGGACTAGAGATTTCCCACTCCTCGGGAAGCCCGAAGGTTTGTTTGCTATCAAACTGTTGTTTCTCCCCTCTTCCTCTTCTGGGTCACGCTAAATCCCTCAGCGTTATTAAAGAAAACCGAAGTGTTGCCCACGTGTAGCTGGTGGCTTCCTTTTTTAAGGTAGTTTTCATCAAGAAACTGGCAAAACTTCCTCCCTTCACCCGGAGGCTTTTGAGGTTTGAAACTGAAATGGAGCTACTTTTCTCCCAAACACTACATGTTGTCTAAGGGGAGCCAGGACGAAAACACCGTGTTTACTGATTTCGATCCGACTCCCCGACCCTCGGCACCCACGAGGGATGCTTCACGGAGCTTGATGTGGAAAAGCGAAGTTGGAGTGTGCTCAGAGACTTCGTCGTGTCCAGCGGCTTAATTGTTGACTTTTTTTTTTTTCAAAGTGGATTCGTAGCATACTTTTATGAATTAAATTTTGTCACCGTTTGTACAGAAGCCAAATGACACGTGTGTTTTGAAACACGGTTCCAAATACATCCATCCCTCAACCCGGATTCTCGCTAGAAAGAGCCGGAGGGAGATCGTCAGTGTCTAAAGAAATCTGATTCTACTGTTTTATGAACATTATCTGCTGCAGAAATGTTGCTATAGATTGCTTTATAACGGTTCAGCAAGAAGGGAGATTTTCCAGCTTGCAGGACCCAGGAAACTGGCTGCTTAAAGTCACTTAAATGTTTTAACAGCATTGGAAAATGGGAGCTGCTACTAAGTTGGCGTTCGCTGTTTTTCTTATCTCTTGTTCTTCAGGTAAGTGAATGTTCTTGGGTTCGTCACTTTAAGCGTAAGGCATTGGGGTCAGCACTTGAAAGCTTGAGGTAACTTTGTCAGTTAGTATAAAGGAGGAGAAATCTTCCTTTTTTTCAGGTGACAAATGTTTGGGGATGGCAGTGAGTGTAAAGGCAGAAGCTGTTTTCATCGTTATTCTTAAAAATGTATAACGAGCACTTCAAATGCGTGCAGCGCTTGGATTTCAGATCAATTGTGTGGAACAAATGTGGAGACATAACCACCTAGTGTCACATACAGTAATCTAGCAATGCAGTTATTAGTGTTTCGTGCTCTTTTTTTAAATAAGAATAACCCAGCTGAAATACTCTTAACTTCAATTAGATCTCTTATTCCAGGCCCTTCACTGGTGAATGGCGACCTTCATTAATGCTTCATTAGCTTAGAATAGGTACTGCTCTGAAAGCATTAGGTCGTCCTTTAATGATGGCGAGGGGTGGGTGCATGTATAGATGTATGCACAGAATGAGGCTGAAAAGGCAGACTTTCAGTTTCTAAACAATAACTTGTAACGCTTTGTATTTTGCTACTCAATAAGTCACTGCCTTGTAGTGCAAAAAAAGCTACTGCTTTTCTCTTTAAAACAGCAGAAGTTGAGTTTCAAACGCCAGCTCTGAGTCCTGAGAAGCGAGCGGGGCGTGAGGACTTCCCCACGCTTCTTTAGGAGGAAAATGGTTATGGTAGCAACCAGTGGTTAGTGGAACTGTTGTACATTTCTGCTTGAAGCTCCATCAGTTTCACGAAAAAATCCTATTTTGAGTTGTGTAAGGGATCTAATATTTGTTTACATGGCAAGCCTGGCACTTTCTGCTCACGCTTTGAATGTGTGTATAGTCCTCTGGGTAGGTTTTGATACACTTTTTAGCGTTCTTGCACAGCATGCAAAGGTATGCTTGTTTATCAGTCTGAAAGCTAGCAGACAAGTGCTCAGCTTTTCAGTGTAACCGGTGTAAGAGAGTAATGAGATCCGTATAACAATGCCTTTTAAAATTTCAGTGTTATAATGTACAGGATTTTGCTGAACAGGGCATTTTCTTGTGGTTAGTAAATGGATAGTCTAGTCTTCTGTCTGTAGCGGTATTGATCAATTCCGTGTGCGCTAAATGTGCTGTGAAATGGCGAGCGCTGCCAGAAATACACCAAAAAAAATCCTTTCTGTTTTAACCAGGTAACTAACAGAGCAGGTTAAGGACAGGCAGAGGGGTTTTTTGGTGTGGTTTTTTTTTTTTATTAGGGTATACCATTTATTCCTCTCTTGAAACAAAACACGATTTCTTCTGGTAGTTTTGTCTTGCAGTAGGAGACATCTTTTATCTTTTCCTAATACCTTACTTTTAAGTTACTCGAGCAACATTCCTCTTAATTCGGGAATATTTTCTGTAGGGAAACTTTCCCCCTGCCCCCCCGGCCCCGACAGTTTCTGAAAGACTTGGTGCCATCTGTTCTTCATGTCTGTCTCTCCCTTCCACGTCCTTCTATTAAGATATCTTTGCCTAGAGCACAGAATAGTGTTCTTGTTGACATTACCTATCCTACTTAGTAAAAAGAACGTTTAAGCAACAAAAGCCATCTTTTCTTTATCATTTCTTACTCGGGTTGTTCTTGGTAATGTAAACTGAATGTTTCTCTTGCCTGTGAAGATGGAATTAATCTTTGCTAAATGAGCAGGAAACTGGCTGCAATTCGGACTGCTGCTCATGTTAATGACATTGTTTTGGTGGTTATTCCAGTATTACACATTCGGTGTTCCGGTATTTAACAATTATTAAACTATTTTCTGCTCACCTAAAATTTTAGAGTATCTGTAGCCCTGGTGTAGGTCTAAAAATAAATACATTCAACAGTAAGCTTTTGTTTTTACAATCAAAATGATAAGATTATGTAAGCTTGTAGCACAAAGTACAGGCATTTTGATAAGTAGGGTTTCTTCTCTCAACTGTGACTTGTTTCGGTTTAAAATCATACCTGATCAATTGATTCTAACATCATCATCATCATCATAAGTTGCGTCTTTTCCAGTCTTTAGTCTGAAAAAAGTCTGCCGGGGCTATATATGTAAGAATATTGGCAATGGTTGAAGAAATCCTAGAGTTCAGGTGTGAAGATGTCTGGTTTGTCTTTCTCCGGTATGCAGTCTCCAGCTACACGGAGTGTGTGTGTCGGGGAGTGGGGGTGTTGGTTTTCTGTATTTGTTAATTTATTTTTATATGCAGCTATTTTCTGCAGTTGTTTACATAGCCAATTAACACTAGTGGTCGTTAAATAGGTGAAAATGTTGTGGGATTTTTTTCCTATGTGGTAGGTGTGGAAGTGGTCTTTAGGTTGAAGGTGTTTTATTTTACTATCTATAAACTGCTGTATGAAATCCTGTAAATGTACTTCAAATGGGTAGGAATTTCCAGTGAATTAAATCTAATAATCTTTGCTAAGGGAGTGAAAATATTCCCTCTTTCTGAGTAAGATGTTTGAAAAAGAGCATCTGTGTTATGTTATTACGCTTTAAAATATTTGTAGATGCTTGGGTAAAAGTGGGTGTAGGTTTGCACCCATTTGTACTAATTCAAGAGAATGAGGTGAATGTTTATTAACTAAACATGAAAACAAAGTGCCCAGGTCAAGGTTCTCCATGTGCCTGCTAATACACTTTTTATATAAACCTGTGTGTATTTTTGATTTAATAAAGAACAGAAGATCCTGCAGTAGTAATAAAACTTAGAACAATTGAATATGCTTCCTGTGCCTCTCTTGTAGGTGAGCTTAAAAAAGAAAAATAGTAAATAAAATAGCGCGTTCATCAAAGAACGCTTCTCTTTAGATAATATCTAATGTTCTCTCCCAAGGAAGTGTGTTTCTGTGTCCTCTAGTTTTCGTGATTGCTGAGTTACACAAAGAATGTATACTTTCATAGTTTTCTGTGATGTTTCAGAATATGTGCCTTATGCAGCTGAAAATGCGGGAGATGTTGAAGTAGTGGATTGTCTTTAACCGAAATCTTCTGTTGTGGGTGCTATGATTTTTAACATCTCATGGTTCTTTTTGGTGCTCTTACACGCCGTATCTCCTAAACCATCATTTTTTCTCTTCTGAGCTGCTGCCTCTGTCTTTGGTGCCTGGACGGTCTGTCATCAAAGTAGTTCTGCAGCTTTAAGTCTCTTACAGGGGACAAGATCCATATTTGTTAAAACTCACTTAAGCTCGGTTCATTCTAAAAATCACCTACGCAAAAGGAAGCACATCAGAAAAGTCTTGGCCCTCTCTTCCCCCTCCAATGCTAGATCATTCTCAAGCCACTCAGAAGGTCCTGAATAATTTTGCTCAAGGAAACGGCATGTCAAAGATACCTTTGTAGTTGAAGTAGCATTTTCACTGCATGGGGAATATTTTAATCTTTGATTTTTATTTTATTCTTCTCCTGACTCACACTGATTATTGTCAGGGGAAATGGGTTTTTTTTACTCATTTTTTTCAAAAAAAAAAAAAATCTAGATAGAATTGTAAAGGCAAAGATACTGCTACAGCTTCAGAAGCTGAATGGTTAGGTGTTCTGAAGGAATTGAGAGGTGGGAGGCGAGACTTTTTTCTTTAATTTTACTAGTGTAACATTTTTTTTGACTGTCCTTTCATTATTAATTTGGTAGCCCTTGAAAATTCTGCTAAAGGTTTAGGAGTATTGTTTGTGAAATTGTCTCTGCTGGTATGTTCTCTGCAAGCTGTCCATGATTGTGGTTGAACTCTAATCACTTTATTGCACAGGCAGAGCAATAAAACACTTCAGACTTCGTGCTGCTTTTAAAGTGAAATCCTGCTCCAGATTCCTTTTTTATAAGAGTGTACACTTTTTTGTATTGTGTGTTATCATTGGGCAATACCCCAGCACTCTTGATGTTGCTGTTGAGAGCAGGACCTGTAAACTTACTTAATACTGTTTTCAAGCATAGATACGGTTACATAGATGTAAATGTTACGTGGTTTACAAAGTTTCATGGCTCCAGGTTGATGTTATAACTTCAATTACAGACCAAAATTCTGTTACTAATTCTATGTAATCTGTTAATACTTAACAAAAGTTACAAACCCCAAATCTTCTGGGTTATGAAAAATAGCTGTACTTGTGCTAATGCAATATTAGAACATGTAAGCATAGTTCTAGTAGAACTCTACTTGACAAATGTTTCTAGAGAGATGCTGCTGTCATGGGTTTATTTGGATGTCTACCCATCAGACAAAAGCCTTTTCTCATAGAAAAAGCGTAAATAAGTTTGTCTTCAAATGCTGGATGCTATGTAAGTTGGTGGAGGGAGGTGTTCTGTGTGAGGGGAAAGCTGTTTTCTGCTATATGGGAGTGCAAGAAGGTAATCACTGCTATCATGAATAATAGTTTTCATCTGGTTTTAATGGAGAATATCTGAATGCCAGTTCTCTTTTCTTTTTTTTTTTCCCCCCCACCTTTCTGGAATTTGGGGCAAAAGACCTTAGGTGATGGGTTCAGACAATTTGCAAATAAGGATAGACAAATACTTCCCCCTGCCCCTGTTTAATTATAGAGGTGCTTTTTTGTCATATCATTAGTTTTAGGTAGGGTGAAAAAAAATAACAGTGACTCCAATGTTTTTCATTCTTAGTGATTCTACCTTCTCTTCCAACTCCCATAGCTTATTTCTCTTTGAAATTGGAATACAGTTCTATTTCAAATCACCATTATGAAGTTTATGTGTATAGTGTCTGGATCTCTTAAAAGATGGTAGTAACACTTTCTTTATTCACAGACAAATGTGGACACAATATGCAAAAGTAGTCTTTTGGAGACCTGTGTGATTCGGAGCTAAGATATAGGAAGTCCTGGGTACTTATCCTTCGGAAATCATCTGGAGAGCAATCATTATAACATGGACTGCAAAAAGATAGAGGTTGACAAGGAATCTGATTGTGGAAGAGATTTCTAGGGAAGGGGAGATGCGTTT